ATCGTGAAGAATAAAACAATCCCTCCTCTCAAGGACCTTGGTCTCTCTTCCCTCTAGGCAGCTAGGTGGCACAGTGGATAGAGCACCAGCCCTGAAGTCAGGAGGACCTGAGTTCAAATGTGACCTCAGACCAAACACTTGACACTTACTTAGCTGTGTCACCTTGGGCAAGTCAATTAATCCCAATTGCCTAAAAACAAACAAACAAACAAGAGATATTCATTGATGGATGAAGGACCCTTCCAGTTCTGAAAATCTATGTTGTAAGGACCTTTTGAAAGGCTCCAAGAACCATTCCATTTAGAAGTGTTACCCTGAGCAAATCTCTTAACCTCTCTGAGCCTCCATTTCCTCCTCTATAAAATGGGGATAATAATACCTATGACACACGCCTCAGAGAGTTATTATAAGGATCAAAGGAGATCCTGTACGCAGAACCCTTTGCCTGTCTTAAAGGGCTGTTATGTCAGCTGTCATCATTACATTGCTGATCCTGGTCACTGTTAAGGCCCCTACAGGTTCCATCTTGCATGTTCTAACTTTCTATGTTCTAAGGCATGATGTTCTCTGTTCCCCAGGTGCACTTGGATGACCGGGTGATCCAGACAGACCGGGGCCTGCTCCTCCTCAGCCTGGGCCCCCAGGACACCGGCCTCTACCACTGCCATGCTACAGAGCACGGCTTCACCCAGCCCCTCCGGCGGCTCAGCCTGCGCGTCGTGGGCGCACACCAAGCCGAGCAGCTGACCAGGGTTGAGGAGGCCCAGGGAATGGGGGCAGGGTCCCCTGCGAGCCACAAGCTCTGGTACCGAGACTTCCTGCAGTTGGTGGACCCACCTGGGAGGGGTGGGGGCGGCCCTATGTGCCCCCCATCTTGGAGTAGTGCTAAGGAGCCCCATTTGCCCTCAGCCCTGGGGCCTCGGCCAAAGGGACACAAGTGGAAACATCTGGAGGAGAAGCGGAAAGGAAGGAACCGCCGGACCCATCCCCCAGACCCTCCTCGGGCTGATCGGGGACCACGAAGTGCGGCCCGATGGTGACCCCGCCACCTTTTCCCCAGAAATCAGTGGGGATTGAGGGGCCAAGGGACCAAGCTGGGTGTCCTGCTTCCTGCCTAACTGGGGTGCCTTTCAACCCCTTAATGTGGGGAAGGGCTCCCAGGAGAAACAGACTGGCCTTTGGTGGGGCAGGGGGTCCTCTTTCAATCTCCCTGCCCTGGGGGCCCAGAGCCGGGGATACAACCACTGATATATTTATTAACAGACCGTAACCAATGAATGTAACCCCACGAGGGGCCAGAGATGGGACCGGGGGCCTGCTGGTGGTCTGGGGTCATGTCCATCCCCTTCCTTCATGCCCCACTTCCTGCTTGTTAGGTCTGGGTCCAGCAGACAGAGCTGGCAGTGCCTGGGGCTTGGGAAGGTCCACTGACCAACCACCCCAGTATCCCAGGACTAGACAATCAGTTCCAAGTCCTTGGGGGACGGGGAGTTTGAGAGTGTGGGGGAAGAACTGCGTCCCCTCAGCCTTGGCAAAGAGCAAAAACCACCATCTCTTAGGGCTTAAGTAAAGCATATGGCAAGCTGAGAACCTTCCCCCTGAAGCTAGCGGTCCCCCAGAGAGAGGAGACAGCAGGAGATACGGAGTGATTATGGGGCAGGAATGGGGGGGGGGTGGAGGAAATGTACAAAGTTGATACAACAGCCAGGTAATTAGCCAAGGAGGGAGCACTGTCTTTCTGTGCCAGGGACCACAAAGAATTGTGGGGATCACACGTGTGACTCTGTTTATGTCTGTCTGTCTGTGTGTGGATGTATGTACATGAGAAGGCAGCAGGCTACTGGGGAGAGAGCCTTGGTTGGACAGGGTTCAAATTCTGCCACAAATTCACCATGTGATCCAAGGTTAATCCCTTCCCCTCTCTGGGCCTCAATTTCCTTTTGTGTAAAATGGAGATAATTCCTGCCCTGCCTACCTCACAGGGCTGTTGTGAGGATCAAGGGAACTAACAGATGTGAAAGTACTTTGGAAAGTATAAAGAACTGCATAAATGCAATATATTATTATTATTATTATTATTATTATGTGTGTGCTAGTGTGTGCATAGATGATAGATAAGATAGGAAGGGCCATCTAAGGTTCCATGTACATCCAAATGCCCACTTGAGGTGTGAACACACCCTTTCCATATTCTCGAGATGCACCAAGTCTAGTAAGTTGGCCAAACTTGATGGTTTGGTCAGTAGGCCTTAGGTTTGCTCTCCCTTCTTTGGAAAGCTGATCTCTCTTTTTGTTGTCGTTCACCCTTCATTCTCGAAGACCATTGACAAGGGTGATGTCTTGACTTGGGTGTGAATTGAATACTAGTGAGGCAGAGCTGTGAAAAGGTCAGTGTGAACACAGAACCGAATGGTCATACATTGTAGTGTGAGGATTTGTGATGGACGAGGGATGATGACCCACCAGGGACTCCAGGTTACTGACCTTAGCACGCACATCCTTGGATATGAAGACGACAGAGCCAGGCGAGGGTTGTGGCTCAGACTTTGCAGCATCACTTCTGGGAATGACCTTGGAGGTGACCTGTTAGCTCTTACTCTCTCAAATCTTCATCCTTGGGGGTGTGAGATGGGGTGGGGAATCGGACAGAAGTTGTTGGGAGTCTAGCCCAGTGATGTAGGAAAGCAAGGGTTGGGACGGAGGGAAAGGGAAGAATCAGGTCCCCCTCCTGACTTCACTTACAACAGTGAAATCCATCACCTTACGCACCTCCAAAGATCATTCCCAAAGAGGAGCCCCCGTGGCATGGGCCAGATGGTGGCATGTTGGCTGTCTCTGTCCCCAGGGGGATGCATACTAACGTCAGTCCCAGCCCTTCCCACTCACCCTGCCCCTTCATATGTGGATCTGACTGTGGGTAAGGCGTTACATGTTTGCATATGCCTACCCACATACATACCTATGGAAAGTGCTTTGTAAACCTTAAAGGATGGAGGTTAGGCCTGTTATTTCATTAATTTAGTGGACTCGCACATGACTAACCTTAACCTCTATTACACATCAGCACCTTCTCTGCAACTCTAGTCTCAGAGAGTTGCCTAAAGCCTCTGCAGGTTAGGTGACTTGTCCAAGGTCATATAGCTACTATGTGTCAGAGCCACTGTGAGCCAAGCCTTCCTGGCTATAAGGCCAGCTCTCAATCCCTTGGACAACACAGCCTCTGTGAGCCTCCAGGTGCTTCGTAAATGCTAGCTATTATTCTATTAGTATATGTCTACGTGTTCATGTGTGTAGGGATATGTGTGAGAGGTATACATTGACCATATCTCTGTGGACATACGTGCATGTGTGTGGCAATGCACATATGTGTGTCTTCATGTGTGTGAGCTCCCATATCTGTTTACTCTGACGTCCTGATTAGTGAGAATGACATGTCCTCTCAAGTAGTTGAATTATTTGAATTGGCACTGCCAATTGAAGTCAATTACTAGACATAATTATGACAATATATAATGTACTAACATACATTATTGTGTGTTATAATGTATGGAATAGAAATTCTATATAATATATAAGTATACATTATGCATATATTATACAATGTATATATCATAAATTCCATATCGTGTATGATATATGATGCAATAATATGTTGTGTATATAATAATTTATGCAAAGTTATTGCTTCAAATAGTGCAAATTTAAATACCTGCAACCACTTTGGAGATTTCTTATTTGCTTTCATCAGGATCTGGTTGTAATTATATGTGTATTCAAATGTGTTAGTATGTATTATGTAAATGTCTTCATATACGACACCTAATCCTTCCCAGTGTCCACTCTCCCAGTGTATTTTATATAGGGGACCCAGTCTCTCCCACTCTCTCCTTGACCCTCCATCTCTTTCCACATCGCTGATGAGGTGGGGAGCAAGGAGGGAGGCCCGGGGGATGCCTCAGGGTAGAAGTTAGGAGACCTGGGTTTTGGCTGCATATCTGCCCTTGCAGTCCATATGACTTTGGACCAGTCCCTTCACCTCTCTGGGCCTATTTGCCCCTCAGTACGAAGAAGGGCTTGGACAAGATAATCTCTGAAGTTGTCTCTAAGCTCTGACATTCTAGGATTTTATAAGAAGGGATTATGCATTATATATTGATGTCTGTAGAGGTATTTGCCTCTGTGGTTCTTGGTGTAACATTCCTTGCAACCTTGTGAGAAACACCGAGGCTGGTTGTCCCAGGTCAATGTACAGACGTAAAGCTGTATCTGTGTGTCTATGAGTGATGTGGTTATTTCTCTGCAGAAAAGTGTACATGTGCATGGCCTGCTGGAGTGTTTATGTGAGTGTGCAAGACTATTTTGCAATACATCTGACACTGTACTAACCCAAAGTGTCTGCAGGTGTGCACACACGTGTGCATGTGCGTGTATGACCTTTGGGGATCTACAGTTTGCTAGCAAAAGGTGCTACTGTCCTGTCATGTTCGTATGTGCATATGCACATGTGCACGTGCACATGCGCGCGTGCACACACACACACATCCCTACATGTGATATCTCTTCCTGGTCACCAGTCTCCAATGCTCTGTTCTTGCTAGTTTTATGTCTCTTTCACACATCCCTGGTCAGTGCCTAGAGAAAACACAGCCAGTTGTGATTCACCTGGTAGCAGATTATCCATATAGACACCCAGAGGATGCTGAGCAGGCTCCCTGGGCCTGGCTACTCGGGAGTGCTTTAGCTTGCAGGGCTGTGGTAGGGGAAGGATGTGTATGGGAGTGGGCATAGAGGCTAGGGAGGGCATTTCTGGCCTCCTTGCCCTCTCCAGGGCCTCTTCTAGCATATGCCAAATGGAATGGAGAGCCTCTGAAGAAGGGGTGCCTGAGAAGTCTGTGGACAGATTACAGGGGGCCTCTAAACTTGGAGATGGGGGAAAAAATGACATCTCTCTTTTTTGCTAACTTTCAGTTTCTTTTGTAATTTGATACATTTTATTTATGCATTTAAAAACATTCTAAGAAGAGCTTCAGCAATCAAAGGAGTCCATGACGTAAAAACGTGTTTAGAACATCTGCTCTGGAGACAGAGACCAGTTAGGAGGCCACTGCAACCTACACAAGAAATGATGAAAGCGCTGGACCTGGTGCCAGAAGCCCCGAGTTCAAATCCTGACTCTGCTATTTGAGCAAGTCACAATCTCTTACAACCTTAGTTTCTGCATGTACAAAAACAAGGGGGTTGGGCCAGGTGATTTCTAAGATCTCTTTCAGCTCTAAATCCTATGATTCTATATACTGAGGCAAGCGAGGTGGTATAATGAGTAGAGCCCTGAACTTGGAATCAAGAAGACCTGAATACCAACCTTGCCTCAGAGACGCTGGGCAATGTTCTGACCACTCTCAACCTGTGTTTTCCTCATGTCTGAAATGGGGTAATAATAGCACCTACCTCCCAAGGTTGTTGTGAGAACCAAAAGAGACAGTATGTATAAAAGTGCTTTGTACAGCACTGTGTCAGTGTTAGCCGTCATGTGTGGGTACATGAGAACATGTGAATGACTGTGAAGTGCCAAACTGGCCAGATCACAGTGACCTTGGAAATGAGGCATGGTGCATAGACACCATCTTTGAGTCAAGTCAGAAGGGAGACCCGAGGCCCAGCCTCTTGTAAAACATTTCTAGGGTAACCCAGGACCCTCTGGCAGGGCAAAGGGCAGAAGGTCACCATCAGCTGCCCTTTGGTTGTATTGCACCAGAAACAAACAAGGACATTCAGAGACCACACCCCCCTCACCACCTTAAGTGGTAGCAAGGACCAAAGTAATGTAGTGAAACAGAGGAATGGACTTGGAACCAGGCCTGGGTGTGGATCCCAGCTCTGCCACTTCCTAACTAGCTGATTTTGGACAAGTGCCTCCCCGTCTCTGGTCTTCTGTGTCCTGAGATGTACGATGAGGGGGCCTAATTGATGATCTCTTGGTCCCTTTCCAGTTCTCGGTCCTATGATACCATTCCATGCTTCCACGTCAGAATGCATGTGCCCCACTGCCTTTCCTGGGACTTCTGATTGCTCTCACTCCCTCTGCCCCTACCCTACTTAGTCCCGCCTCCTCTAAATATAACCCCCTCTGGGCTGAGCTCAAGACTATTTCTGGACTGGGCAAACGTGCCTTGGGAAGCCAGTGGCCTGGACAAGGGCTCTGAGAGGTGCTGGCTACTGCCTCTACTCCTCCCCCTTGCCCAGGGCACTACCCATCTGGCTGCAACCCCACTGACCACCACACCTGGCCATGCCTGGGGAGGCCCGAGAAGGTAAGGTAGGTGGGTGGTGGGTGGGCACCTGGGCAGGCAGAACTGGACAGGGCAAGGCTCACACTCCAGAGCCTTAGGAGTGGAAGGTACTGGGCTGGGGCATTCCCCAATGCCCAAGGTTGAACTGGGAGGCATTCTAATGGACTCCCCTCCCTGGAATCTGTGAAGAGGAGGTAGGCTGTTTCAGGCATCCATTTGCCTGCCTCTGGGGACCTCTTTTAGCTTTCCAAGCTTAGGGAGAAAACATACAGTAGGAGCCTCCCTATCCTCATCACTATGTACCCAAACTGAGTTTGGCCTTCCCACTAGACATAAAGAGACAGGGATAGCTTATCCCTGACACCCAGCTTTCTCTCCTTCATTCCCAGTCTGGCCCATCAGGTTGGGCAGAAGGGAGTCAGGGACATGGCATCCCTTCTACCCATCCCTGCCATGCTATACCTGTTCTCTCTGCAAGGGGACAATGGTTGGGACAGGTCATCTGCCTGCCAAGATAGGGCTGGGGGTGGGAGGGTTTATGAGTGGAGGCAGCAACTTGGGCAGCCGCATGGCTCTGGAATAGCCATGGGTTCCGGTCCTAGTGGGAGGAAGCTAGGGCTATAGGAGTGGAGCAGAAGCATGACAGCCTGGGACAGGGTCACTGGATAAGACAGCTGTGGGTTCTGCCATCTGTTAAGCTGCTCCAGGGCAGATCAGCTCCATGGGGAACAAGGACCCCTAGCTGCATCTCCTTATCTGTACCCTAGTACCTTCATCCCTGCCTGGGACCTCCTCACTTCCTGGCCTCTCAGGGTGACTATGTCCTTGTATCCGAGATACTTCTCTGGCCTTTAAGACCTCAGAAGACACAGCCCAGGTTCGAGTGATTAGTTTCCTGATACCGTCTGAGGGCTAATGCTAAGACCCTTTTACGGCACACCCAAGAACCTAGTCACCTCCAGAAGTTCTTTGTGATTAGCCCCCCCTGACTGTTCCCTCTTCTAGTGGTGAGGTACTGCTGTGAACCTGAGGTACTGCACCTCAAGAGAGTCTGGTCTTCCCTCAGATTAGCATATGGCAGGGGAAGGGGTCCAGGTTTCTCATTCAGGTCAGGAACTCCTTGAGGTCAGGCACAATGTCTGCTCATACAGCAAACAGGGCTCCCCCAGGACACAGACTGTCTCCTTTCCTTCCTCTGCGTCTCCCATCAGTATACAGGGTTTTACGTTAATGAGACATTCAGTGATTATGTCCTGGCCTGACCCTGTGGGGATCAGAGTAGGCATGGACTGGGGTGGGAGGAAGGAAAGAAGAGAAACCAAGAGTAATCCTGTGGGCTTGGGGGCAGGGCGAGGGGAAGGGGGCTGGCTCTGGGGTGCAGGCTACAATAACGTGTGAAATTCTCTTGGGCTCCAATGATTCGGCACTGGGGGGGAGGAGACTGGGCATTGATGGGATTACTTTTTAGACTGACCCAAGGCCTGTGCTGAGGGGAAGAACATTGCCCTGTGGGCCTTTTTTACTGGGGGTGTGAGGAATCCTTCCCCCACTCCAGCCACTCAGCCCAGTGCCCTTTTCCCTCCCAGATGCCATCCTGCCCATCATGGTGAGCCCGGATACTGGAACCACTCCACCCAGCCACTTCACCGAGGTCAGCCTGCACCCTGTTGAGTCCATCAGTGACCTGCACAATGGAGGTATGGACCACACTTTCTAAGGTATGGGTGGAGAAAGGGAGTTAGTTCTCCCCAGAAAAGGGCAATCTAACATCTGTCTCCTCCAGGGTCCCTGCACCCCTACCTGACCGATGACCCAGCCTCACAGCAATGGGAAGAGCTGATGGGCATACTGCCCCCATCGCTTTGCCTCCAGGCTGGCTGCAACCCAGCCCACGGGCGCGGGGCCTTCTTGTTATTGCTGGCTCTGCTCATCCTCACCTGTCTTGCCCTTGCCATCTTGGCTGTCTACCTGAGCGGTACAAGGGCTGGGGACTGGTGTGGGTGCGGGGGGTGCAGAAGGAAATCAAAGAGGGTCACTGTTGACACTCACCTGTTACCTGCAAGGTGGGGGGGGGATAGCAAAGAATCCCAAAGTTAACAACTCTTTGGAGGGAAGAGGGAAGAGATTCTTTTCCTGCTTTGGTAAGCCTAAGGTTGTAACATTTAGATCACACAATCTTAGGATGAGGGCTAGAAAGGACTGGAAGGCTCACCTTATGCTACACCATTTTACAGAGAAGCAGAGGCTCAGGAAGCCGTGAACTGCCCAGTCATCCAGCTAGTAAAAAATGGCAGATGGTTTTGAACTGAGGTCTCCTGACTCCACGCCCTCCCGGGCATCGATGCTCTGCCCACCAGCTGGGTGGTTACAGGAAACTGGATTAGGCTAAGAAACCACGCTGTGGATAATCCAGTTATTTACACAGAGCCGATCAGCAAGCCAGTGCAGAAGGGATGGGGGGCCCCGGGGAACCCCGGGTAGTGCATGCCTCTCCTCTCTTCCCACCTGTCTCAGTGCTACAGAGTGAGTCCCTGCGGGTCCTGGCCCACACACTCCGGGTCCAGGAAGAGACACTGCTGAAACTCCGACTGGCCAGCCTCAACCAGTGGCGTCGGCTCAACACCAGTGAAGCCCGAGGCCTCAGCTGAGGGCAGACCTGACCTCCGCATCCTCCGCTCCTCACAGGGACCCTCTGCCTATGCTCAAGGACAAGGGCAGGCGACCCCTCCCTCCCTTTCACTCTGGCCTGTATTTATATGCCCCAAACACAAGCTCCGCATTTATATGTTTCTTTCTACAGAACATTTTTATATGAATAAATGACACTCAGTTTAAAGCCTGTCCTCACATACCTACAACCAGACCCCACCGCCCAGGGCCATCAAACCAACCGAGGCAGAAGAATAATGCAGGAGAGCTCCCAGCCCACATCGGACAGAAATAAACATTTCTCTAGGATTCTCAACTTGCCTCAGAACACCGGGTGACACAGATCATGCAAATATGATTGTCCTTTTTCAGATGGGGAAACTGAGGCACGGAATGGCTAATCCTTTATTACTCACTGAGCCTGGGGGCTAAGATTTAAAGCCAGAGTTGTGAGGAAAGCACTCTGTAAACCTTAAAATGTGACAGGAATGGGAGATGCTGAATATCACCATTGGCTCCTGACACCCAAGTCCAGGGCTTCTGCCACACACCAGGCAACCAAGGCCCACTCCTATCTAAAGGAGGACAAGAAGCTGGGAGTCAGGGGTCACAGGGGCCTAGGTCAAAGTTCCTATTTGAGAGCCTGAGTGATAGGGACAGCATGTTTCTGAAGTCAATGAAGCATCTTAAAAGAGATACTGGAGTAAGCCTTCCCTGCCCCCACTTGCAGCCCTTCCTGTCCCTCCCTTTCTCCTGTCAACACCTCCTGGCCAGCCCCAGGCCACCACTCCTACCGTCTGCATCCCACAGATAGCAGGAGCTCAAGTCTCTGTCTGAGGCCATCCCAAAATAGCTGCTCTGCCCTCCCCTCCTGGACCAACCAAGTGTTCAAGTTTCCCCCATAGAAATTCAGCCTCAGAGGGTGACTGTCCAGGGGGAAGACGTCTCCAGGGCCCGCCCCCCTCCCCACCAGCTCCCCCTGAGGAGCTGAGGGCTCCTGCACAGGACCTCTCATGTCAGATCACCCTGTTCTGCTACAGCAGGAGGCCTGGGAGTGGACATGGGTAGAGACTGAGAGAGTGCCATGAAGAAGGAAGAATGAAAGCCTCATATGTTCACTAGGTTGGGGAACCCCATACAAATATGGGAAATGCTTCTGGAGAGGAAAGTACCCCCACCCCCCATCCCCCAAACCAAAGCCTGGCTTGGCCTGTTCCACGTCATTCTGAGAAGGTCACCCTGAAAGCGTTTCTGCCCTGGGTAGCCAGGGACTCTGTGTTGGAGAAAGCAACAGTCCGCTCTGTGACCTTCTCCCCTTCACCAGCAGTCAGGAACAGAGGCTGGGGAGCCTGGTCCATGGTCACCTCCCAAGAGCACCCCCCCTTGCAGAAGCAAAGAATCAGCTCCGGCCTCTTCTGTCCTCCCCAGGTGGGCACAGAGGCCAACTGGGGGTACGTGCATAAGAGCACAACTGAGGCAGCAGGTATGGTCTTATTTAATTATCTCTAATATTAATCTTATAAAATCAACACATACATCTATTCCAGAAAGCCCCCTTCCCTGCTTCCCTCCCACTCCAGCATAGCTAAGGTGCAGGAGGGTGGAGACTATACTGAGTATGTGTTAAGGCCTAGGGAAGGAGGAGCATCCCAGCCTGCAAGGATGGGACCCTCCAGGTTAGGGACCCCCTGCAGTTCCATCCTCCAGCTCACTCCTAGGGAGACCAAGCGGTTAGTCAATCCAGGAGGAAGAGCAGCTGAAAGACAGGGAGAAAGGACTCCCCAGCTATTCACTCCTCAGCCTGGGGAGTCTCTGAATTCCCTCCTTCCTTGACATCATTGTGACATCGATATCTCACCCCAAGGACAGCCAGGCACAGAAGGTAATCAGTCTTCCCGGCCCAAATCAAACCCTGGCCCAGCAGGAGAGATGGGCAAAAGGGAGACAGGAGGAGGGAGCTGGAGGAAAGGGGAGCTGAGGGCTGAGGGTCGAGGGGAAACCAGGGCAGCCCTCCCACCCTGACACTTTTATTTGGTTTTGACATTAAAAAAATAAAGCAGAGGCCCCCCGGGGAGCCAGGCCACATGATGAGAGTTCCGTGGCCTTGTTTTTCTATATAAAAACTGGGATGAGAGCAGCCTCCTCCACCAGCCCCAGGGCCAGGGGAGGCCTTGTGCTCACAGCACGTCCGCGCGCTTATCCCGTACACGATTACGTGCTTTCGTCCGGGCTTTGAAGGCGGCTGAATTGTAAAGGTGCTGGAAAAGAGAGGAGAGGCCGCTTAGGAGCAAGCCGGGGTGTTGCTTTCCTCAGGACCCCAAAGAAAAGGCTGGCTAGGGATGAGGGAGAACACGGCCAGTCTCCCTGAGAAGGGAAAGCCCAGGCTCTCACGGTCCTCCCACTCCTCCCAACCCAGCGGCCCTCTCATCAAACAGGCCAAACTGTGGGGAAACGGCACAGACAATTTGAGGCAGAACGAGAGAGAGCCAAGGCGGGGGTCAGGGCCAGCTACACACCTTCTCAAAGCGGGAGATCTTGCTGGCCTTCATGGCGGCAGCGTCCAGCACCAACACCGGTCCCAGGTCAAAGACGTCTCGAAGCAGCTCATTGTTCTGGGAGAACGAAGGGCACAATGTGAGCCAACGAAGTCCCAGGCCTTTGGGAGACGGGGGAGGGCGGATGAGGCAGGGGAGGGTCCCGCTCCTTCTGACTCATCGCCTAGGACAGTACCTGGAGGTGGTGGAGGACACCAGAGCCTAAGGTCTCCTTAAATGCTGCGTATGTCCGGCGTCGGACCCAGCTGTCCACATACATACATTCCAGTCCAAACTTGATTGTCTCTTCCTGGCACTCTCCAGTCTAGAGAACACGGACCAGGGGAAGGCTGTTAACCCCCAGGAACCAGTTCTCAGCCCCTTCTCCATGCTAGAGGAGGGGAGGGGTTGAGGTCCTTAGTGCTGGGCTCATGGAATAATGTGTGTTATAATTGTCTGGTTTATGCCTCCCTCCTCTACTAGGCCATGGAGGCAGAAACCATGTCTTACCTACACTTTTTCTCTTCCCTACAGACAAGCCCAGTGCACCCAGGAGATGCTTAATCAACATTTGTCCAAAGAATGCCCTTCCATGCCGACAGTGAGGGTGGCTGGGCACGCAAGACGGCCTGAGGAGCAACCCCACAGGACCACAGAGGACACAGCCCATCTGGCTCAGGCCCCTCATTTCAGAGAAGCAAAAACTCAGGTCCAGAAACATGGGATGGAATGGATAGATTCCCAGAGTTGGGGACAGTTCCACGAGCTTCTTTGTTTCTCCAGCGTCTAGTACATCATTAGTGCTTAGTAAACATTTGCTATTGTTGGGTTTAGTAACTCAACCAGGATCACACGAATCTGAATTCAGGCCCCCACAACAGCTGGGCTAATTCCAAAAACCAAGGAGAGGAGGAAAAATTTGGCATAGGTAACTAACCACCCCCAGGGCTCCACATTGGCTCTGTGTGCGTGCACATGTGTGTCCACGTGTACATGCATGTGCATGTATGTATGTCTGTGTGCAAGAGCCTCCCCACCTCAATGAAGTGCAGCACATCCCGGAAGATGGAGCGCTGTTTCCGCCGATCGGCCTTGGCCCGGTACTTGTTGCTGTCCGTGGCCAGGGCTCGGAGGGTGCTGCACAGGGTATCGGTGTCCTCATACAGGAAGTCCTCCTGAAGGAACATTCGGACACAGTGGCTTGGGGCTGTCCAGCTTTCCCTAAGCCCCCCTCCCCATCCCACCTCACAGAAGTGGCCCCAAGACTCCACAGGTGGCCCTCGCCCCCCGACCATAACAGGCTCCAAACTTCCCCTCTTGGTCCCAGTCTAGATGTCCCCTCCCACCCGCCACTCCTAGTACCTCTATATCCCGGCCCAACTCAAAGAGCAAGGCAATGGTCTCCCCTGCTGCGATGCGAAGGTGCACGCTGTCGCTGGACAGGAGCTGGGGCAGCTGGGGCAGCTGGCTGTGCAAGGGCAGGGGGCACTGAGTGAGCAAACACTAAGAGCTCCCCTCACCCCGGTGACAGGCAAAAGCTCCTCACTCGCTACAGGAACTCTGGGGAAGAGGCAAGTGGCCAGGCTCCACCCAGCCTCGTGGCTCCTCACTGCTGCTGTCCGGAAACCTCCACCCCCTTGGCGGTGCCCCCTTCCCCTCCTGCCAAGCAGCTCAAGAAAATGGGAGCCGTATCCTGTTCTATCTCCCTGCAAGAGGGCAAATCCAGGCAGTATGTCTAAAGGAAAGAGCGCTGCACGCGGTGTCAGAAAACCTAATTTTGAATCTAAGATTTTCCACTTAAAAGCTCTCTCGCCTTTGACAATTCAATTCTCTTTACAACAGAAATTCAGCTCTTATTGGGGCAGGACTGCATCCAGGCCTACCCCCTGAGGTATGAGAGGATGAAACGGGCACTACCAAGGATGAGGAGAAGACCAGAGGAGTCTACCAGCCCTCCCTCGTCCCCCCGTAGCCCTGCATACCTGTCCAGAACCCTGCTGATGTGGGAACCAGGGCAGATTGTAAGGAGCAAGGCCCAGGCCTGGAGGGCACAGCAATGCAGGGCTTGAAGGTGTGCCAGGGCAGAGGATGACTCCTCCCTACAGGCCCCACTGAAGATGCCCTCGAGGCAGGCTAGACATGAGATGAGGTCCTGTGGGAAGACAGAAGCCCAGGGCAAGGAAGGTGTCAGAGAGGCTGCTTGCCAGCTTCATCAGCCCTCTGTTCGAGCAAAAGTCCGGCCTGGGAGGCCAGCCGTCCACACCTGCCAGCAGCACCAGTGAGGTGACCTAAGGTCAGCTGAGGTGAGAAGATGCTCTGAGCCCTTGAAGGGAAAAGGGAGCCGAGACAGGGTGAACTCACCTCCACATCAGCAGCAGCAATGTAACAGCACATCCCCAGGGCTGTGGCACACTGCAGGGGAGAGCAGGTCAGGGGGTCAGACTCTCTCAGGATTCCCTCAATAACCCAGGCCTCAGAAACACAGGGCTGACCCCAAGCCAGAGAGAAGTCACCTCACCTCTGGGCCTCAGTCTCCTCATCTGTAAAATGAGGGGGTTGTACTCATGACCTATGACCCCATGACCTCTGTCATCCTACAATGCTAGCACCCTGTTTTGGCCAGTTCCTAAATCTAGCCCTAGCCCTTAGGGCC